TTCTAGCTCAACTACTTCATATCCTGTGTCCAAAATGTGTATTGAGCAATAGACTTAACTCCAAATTCTGGGGAGCAACTAAAGGACAGCACCAATAGCTTATTTTGTTGGGATAGGGTGTCCTTTGGACTCCCTGACCAAGGTCTCAAAAAGAGTAGACTCATGCTTGATACTGAGGTTTTTGTGGGAGAAATTATAACAGAAGAACAAGTTTTTCATGGGCTCATGGTAAGAAATAAAACCTAGCTTGAAATAGGACCCATAAATATTTTATAAGTATTATAATGCAATAGGTAGGTAAAAATATGTGTAGCAGGAAACATACCGATTAAATACAAACAACTAAAAATGTTGCCAACTTTGATTCCTCTATCCATGATTTCCTTCTAGTTCCCATCCTCCTTCCCGCTCCAAAAACATAAACACTACATTGAATTCTGCTTAATAATATATTGTTTAGGTTTGTATTTTTAAGATTGTAACAATCTTATCATTCGATATTTTAGGACTTAACTCTTCACTATCATGTGCAAGTGTGAAAATTTCAAGAGATGAAATTGCCAAGTTATAGGTTTCTAATTTTTTTTGTCAACTTAATTTATAACTTGTCTATATCAGCTGGTTTACATTCTTACCAGTAATATTTTTAAATTCATATAGATCTATATTTTCCAGCAGTAACTCTAATTAAACTTCTACAATCTTATTGTTTTTGCTATTAAGTAATTTCTCTTTGTGATCTTAGTTTACATTTTCTAAATACTGATATGCTTGGCCATTTTTCATATACTTCTCTGATGAAATGTTTATTCCTCATTTCTCAATTTTTACTTACTTTTCTTACTAAGGTATATCCATCTCTTTTTTAAATAATTGAATTATTTTTATGTGCATTGGTATTTTGCCTGCATGTGATGGTGCATGAGGGTGTTGGGTCCCCTAGAACTGAAGTTACACTTGTAACCTGCCATGTGGGTGCTCAGAAATAAATCCAGGTCCTCTGGAAGAGTAGTTAGTGCTCTTAATCTCTGAGCCATCTCTCCAGCCCTCATGTCCATATCTTTTAATTACCTCCTTTAGTAAAATGTTAATCTTTTCTGCGCCATCTTTAAGGATATCATGGATATATAGTTTTAGAATTCCAGGTACTTTATAAATACAGACATGTAAAATATAAATAAGAGTGCCAGTTGTCCATTGCAACATTCTAGATAATAGGTATTCAGGTATTCAATCCCAGATTGTGTTGTACTTAATGAAATAATTTTCTATTTTCTTTTTTAAATTTTAAGGTAGTGGAGTCCCTCACTCTTTTGCTATGGTTACTTTATTTTGTCTTTCTACCTGTATGCCCTGTCTTAGCTTGTTAAAGAGAATTTTAAAACATGTTTATCAAGAATTGAATTTCCAAAATTTAATTTTAAGAAACTTGAAACTGTACAAATTTGATATGTGTTGACTTGTAACTAAACCAAAAATAACATGCCCATGGGGTGGGCGTGGAGGGTTAAGTTCTAAATTCATTCCATGCTTGGACTCTTTATAAAATTTGACTTCTTTTGTTTATATTCCTGCATATTATATAGTTGTTTATGTTTTATCGTTATGTTCCTTTTAATGTATTTGTATGTAAATAAATTAATGTTGTTCTGGTTTATTTCCTATTTCTGTGATAAACACCATTACCTAAAGGGAGAAAAGAGTTTGACTATAGCTCATAGTCCATTATTAGAGGAAGCAGGATAGGCACTCAGATAGTTCAGCAACCTACAGTGAAGGATTAAAGCAGAGGAGTGCTTTCCATGGTGTGCTAAGTCAACTATCTTCTACAACCCAGGACCACCTACCTATCAGGGGTGGTACTTCTCACAATGGGCTGCCTCACAGGCTTTCTTACAGGCCAGTCTGACTGAGGCATTTTCTGAATTGAGGTTACCCCTTCCCAGATGACATCAGCTTCTGTCAAGTTGACAAAAAACTAACCAGCACATGTTCTTTAGAATTTTATAAAGTTCCTATAAAATTATATCTTAACTTTAGCTATATTATCATTATCTGTCTTTAGAAAGTTTTTTTTTTTTTTAATTCTCCTTTCTAATTTTGGAACCCTCTTACATTGATACTATGGATTCTTATTAAATTTTACATTTGAGTAAAATTTTTAAATTAGGTTTAAATTTTTCATTCATTTTGTTTTTTAAAATATGTTTTTTAGCTTTAATGTTATTTCTCAAAATAATTGAACAGACTTAATATTCTAGTAAAGAATATCACAGTAATTTTTCAATCACCAATATACTAATATACTTTGGTTAAGCTTGATTTTTTAATGTACTGGGAAGTCAAGACATTTTTGTAATGTAAAGATAATAACCATTATCTGGGCATTGGTGGTGCACGCATTTAATCCCAGCACTCGGGAGGCAGAGGCAGGTGGGTCTCTGTGAGTTCAAGGCCAGCCTGGTCTACAGAGCTAGCTAGTTCCATGACAAGCTCTAAAGAAATATATAGAGAAACTCTTTCTCAAAACAACAACAAAAGAAAACCATGTAGTTGTTTTGTATATTTGTTTATAACATTCTTCCTTTCATATGCAGATATCTTGAAGTTAGTCTTTAAAATTTCTACTTAGTTCAGAGTAATACAATGATCTAAGTGTGAGTTTTTTTGTTATAAAAATGTCTTATGTTGAGTAATTGATAAAAAAAAAAAAAAAAAGGTGTTTATTTAACCCTTACAGTTTTGGAGTTCCAGGAACATGGCACTAACATCATTCAGCTTCTGGTCAGGTCCTCATGCTGCCATATCATAGTGGAGAAATGGAGACTAGAAGGAGACACATGGAGAAGGGACATGTATGACAGCATACTTCCTAACAGTCACTTTCATGAGAATTAATTCATTCTCAAGATACCTAGTTTCCATACACTTAATCACTCCCTATGGATTCTATGATCCTGAAATAATGTTACAAAAGAATTATATTTCAACATAAGATTTGATAGAAGCTATATCCAAACCATAGCAGCAGTTAGGTTTCATGATTGGAAAGGGGAAAAATGGACTCTCAGTTTATTAAGGCACTTTTGAAAAATGTTGACAGGTTTTAAAGTGAACTCTGCTAATTATGTCTTTACAGAGGAAAAAAAATGTACTTTTATTTACATATCATAGTTAATGGTTACAAAATCAAACTTATAAATTATGGGGAAAATATTTTAAGAAAAGTATACATGATCAGGTCTAAATACTGTAAATTATCAGTTAGTTGAGTTATACAGTTGTGTCCAGGGACACAGTATTAGATCTTGGAAATATTTTAATATGTTTGTGTTTGGATGTGTGGTATATAGAAACTGATTATAAATAATGAAATCATTTTTATAAGATACTTAACAGAAAGTAGAAATACTTCTCTTTTGTTCTGTTTCCATGTCTTTTCTTTAAAGCTTAGTTCATGTTGATAATATAATTTTCATTTTTGTTTTTACATATTAAGGGTATGAAAGACATCATTTGTTTCCTATAAAGTGTCATTTTTTTCTTTCTTTGATAGTCACATAACTCTTAGTAAGATTGTAAATGTAAGCAAAGTTTGTTGTGCTTTGCAAAAATGTTTGATTTCCTAGTTGTAGTTTTAAGAAATAAATTTTTAAAAATTGGTTCCTTGAGAGTTTTATATCATGTGTTTTGATCATATTCATCTTTTTCCCCAGCCCTTTCAAGACCCATCATGCTTTAAAGCCCTACTTATCCAACTTTATGCCCCTGCCCCCTATCAGGACCAATTTGTGCTGCCCAAAGATTCTTGGGTGTGTCCAGTGGAGTTTGGTTGACTTACCAGGGTACATACACTTAAAGACAATTCTTCAACTATGAACTTAGATTTCAGAGACTCAGGAAGACTGAGAAAGAAAAGATGGCAAAAGACATTGTTGAGCTGCTAACAGAAATCTAGACCCCATCTATCTTTTTTTGAGTTAATGTTAAGTGAAACAGTAAAATAATCATTCATGGTTAATCTTCTTTCCCAACTTGAATGGATTTAGAATCACCTGAAGATACCCATGTTTTAAGGGTTTGTATATGAAGACTTTTCCAGAGAGGGACACACTAAATGTTTGCAGCAGCATCCCATGAGTTCTGGACTGAATAAAGAGGGAAGGCTAGAAAGCCAGATGAGTGCTGGCATTCCCATTACTTTGCTTTCTCTGACCAACTTAAGAATTGAGCACATAGCCTTATACTTATACTACCATGGAACCACCTACACCATGCCTACCCCACTATAATGTGGTCTGTATGTCATGAGCCAAAAATAAATTGTTCCTCCCTTAAGAGCCTCTTGTCAGGTATTTAGTCACAATAACAATAAAAGCAAATATTCACTAATATTTGAGTGCCTATTAAGTGTTGGGCATTTCCAGTTACTCATTCTCACCCAGCACAATTCCTTCCTCTTCCCAAGTAGTCTTTCCAATTTTTATGCCTTCTGTATTTATTTAAAATCTAAATTTAACCTGAAATATTATGGTGATCTTAAGGTCCATCCATTTTGTTCTTTGAAGCTGAGTAAAATTTGGTTTATATATCGTGTGTGTGTGTGTGTGTGTGTGTGTGTGTGTGTGTGTGTGTGTTGATGTTGTGAATATGCCACAGTAGAAATGGAATGCAAGTGTATTATCTGCTATATGCAGACTTAGATCCCATGAAAGTATATCCCCTGGAGCGGTAAAGCTGGATCATACAATAGTTGTGTTTTTAGCTTCCATAATGGCTGCAATAAGTTGCATTCTTACCATCTTGCCAACATTTAAAAAAGGAACCCTGTCTCAAAAAAGAAGAAAATATTCATATTTTTATTCACATAGTATTTAATGGCTATTCATTTAAATGGTTTTTGTATTAAGAATTATGTATGACTTATGTTGATTTAATGACCCCTAGTGGTAATTGTACTGTTATTAAAATGAGTATAATGTAAACTGCTTATCACAAAGGTTGCACAGTAAATTAAAAGATGCTGTTGAAAAGCAATTGGAAGCCCTTCCCTTTGGCACAGGGATAGGAAATGATATCTGTGCAGATGATGAGACTCTAAGGAATCTTCAGGAACAATTGCAACTAGCCAACCAAGTAAGTGACATACTATTTTTATTTAGTAAGTTTAAAGTCCTCAGAAATGTGTTAATCTTTACATTTTTATTTTTGGTATTATAGTTACATCTTTTCTCCCTTCTCTTCCCTTTCCTATTCTAAACCCTCAAAAATACTATTCCTTGCGCTCTTACAAATTCATGACCTTTTTTCAGTAACTGTTGTTACATACATATATGTATATTCATGTACACTCTGAATATAACCTGTTCAGTCTGTATAATGTCACTTGTATATATGACTTCAGGTCTGACATGTTGGTACTGAACAGAATAAAAAAATTTATAGCACTTGATTTTTCTGTAACTTAAAACTTGTAATAAACGCTCTTACTGTTACCAGTATAGCGTCAAATATATTTTAATTGAATCATATGACATTTGAACACTTTTTGTCCTTTAAGAATAATTAATGTTAAAAGAAAATTCTAAAGAAAGGAGTAATCAATGATTTAGTTTCCTTAAATTTGCATGTTTTGTGTGTTTTCTCCTGATACCATTTTCAGTTTTCAAAGATTGTAACATAATTATTATACATTCTCTGGCTTTTTTCTTCCTTCATAGTTTTTGAAATTTCTGGTATTCTGTGTCCTGTGCATTTCATTTTTCAGTGTTATAATTTCTGTGAATTTGTACATAAGGGAGCTTTATTTCACTTTATAATTTTACATCCCTGCATCTCAGACCTTATATGAGTTTGAATCTCCATTCTTCTACTTTATAGCTGTGTGGATGAAGAGCCTTTGGAGCTATTTATGACACTGTTAAGGGCTGAGAGTGGTCATTTGTACATTTTATGATTGCATGTTATACTTAGTAATCACTTGATAGAAACTTAAAATCCTGTATTCTGAAAGTATACTCAGCATGGACCAAAACTGCATCTTCACCTGGAATTCCAAAGCTTAGACTTTAGAGACATAGAATGTATGAGTTACTTTTCTCTTGTTGTGATCAAGTGCAATGGCCAAAAAAAAAAAAAAGAAGAAAGGATTTATTTGGCTTATGGTTCCAGAGAATTTATACTTCATAGTGGTAGGGATGCCATGGAAGCCAGCAGCAGGAGCAGGAAGCTGAGAGATCTCATCTCAACTATACACAGGAATCAGAAACAGCAAGCTAGGAATGGGACAAAGATACAGGCCTTCAAAAACCTGCCCCAGTGACGACTTCCTTAACAAGGCCCATCTCCTAAAGTTTCTATAACCTCCCTAAATAGCACCACCAACTGAGGACCCAGAGTACAAAGACAGGTGCCCACAGGAACATTTATTATTCCAGTAACAACAAAAAGAAAATATTTCATGTTCCAGTCTTAGTCAAAACAGGATAAGGATCCTAAGCAATTTGCTGTTTGTATGGTCTCTGAGGTTTAAGTTAGCATTTCTTAGCCTTTTGGTTTCAAGACTCTACACAGATCACTTATCTTATTTAAGTATCTGAAAGTACTTTTTTATGAGTTACATATGTCAATATTTAGTCTACCATAAATTAACGGGCTTTATTTTTTGAATAGTGATATCAGCATACTTTCTACCAGCCCTCAGCACAGGAATGACATAGCATATACTTTAGAAAATTTCACTATGACAGATGAGAGCACATAGCAAATGTCTTCCTGTTGTTATAAACATAATTTTGACTTCAAAATCTGAAGATCTTAAACCCTGAGCTGGTGAGACTATATTAAAAAGTTAATTGATTAATTTTTTATAATCTCACTATAAAATGCCAAGTGAAATAGTGTTACATTATATGTAACACATTATATGATTATATTTTCACTAAAAGACTGAAAATATTGTATCCTAGAAGCATATTTATAAGAAATTTATAGACATGAACAGAGTCAACATTTATAAAGATTATTATATCCAAATATTAGTAGTATTTATTAGAAGGGCTAATACCTAAACTTCTAAGTAGTTCTTTATTGTTTCTATTTTCCATATTTTCCTAATTTTCTACAGTAAGCACAATAAGCTCTTTACAACAGAAAGGCATACTGTACTTTATCATAAGTATTTTTCTCCTTTAGTAATGTCAAAGCTTAATTTGAACTTTTTTGTAGAACAAGTACAGTGGTTTTCAATATGTACTGCTGCTAACATTAATTTTACCTTTAAATATAACTAAAATTTCAAAATAAGAAAATTTTTAGTTTTAAATTTGTTCTCTAAAGTACTATTAAAAATTTTAAATCGTGAGTATTATTATAGAGACACATAATAATGTTTCTGTCGATGATGGACATAGAGAGTGTTACTCTCTATGAGTGCATCACTAGCAATGATTGTAGCCATTGTAGTTTGTATTAAGTATATCTGTTATGGTCACATAATGGTTAAACTGCCTAATAGTACATTCCTCTGAAAGTGTTCCCATCATTAAACAGTGCACAACTACCATCTTTATATACATTCTAGTTTTACTTCGTAACTTTACACAAACCCATTTGTAAAACAATGTGATCCATTTATACTATCAGTAAGTAGCCTGCTCATACTTTAATAAACTATCAAATTTTTTGTTTGATAGGAGAAAGCTTGGTCTCTGGAACTCTGGCAGACTGCTTCTCAGGAGTTGGAAAGTGTACGGAAACTCTACCAGGAACATATGACTGAAGCCCAGATTCATGTCTTTGAAAATCGAAAGCAAAAGGTAAACGTATGTTTCATGATTTTCTTAAATATTCAGTTTGAAATCATAAAAATCATGGGGAAAAAACTGTTTTGAGACGTTTCTAAGTCTTGTGTTTTTTAATTAATTAACAAATATATCTCAGAATCTTTTAAACATGAGTAATCAAAGAACTGCCTCAGTGAATGTTGTATTTTTTGTTTGGTTTGTTTGGTTTTTTCAAGACAGGGTTTCTCTGTGTAGGTTTGAAGTTTGTCCTAGAACTCACTTTGTAGACCAAGCTGGCTTTGAACTCATAGAGATCCACCTGCCTCTGCCTCCCAAGCACTGGGATTAAAGGCATGTACCACCACCACTCAGCTGCATGTTAAGTTTTTAATGTGATTAGAAATAAAAGGTGTATTAGTTTGGGGAAGAAATATAAGTCAATTTATAAAAAACGAAAATTGTTCATTGAGTTAGTGAATGGAGAAACATACAGTGACAACACTGTCAAATAGCAATATTCACACTATTACTAAAATAGATGTCCAATATGTTGACTGTAAATTATAATACAATTTTATCATAGGAAGAAGTTTTATTAGTTATTGAAGACATCTTTCTGTCTAAAGCAAGAGTGCTTTTACATTGGGTATCTAGCTTTTGCTTTATACCTCTATTAACAAAACTATTTCATAAAGACCACCCATTGGGAAATCAGCTTTTATTGTTTTTCTGTTCATTCTTTTACTGCTAAATACATTTGAGTACTATGGACAGATGACAGTTCTGAGCATTTTCAATAGATCTTAAGAACTATCTGTTTAAATAAGTGGGTTATCTTAACTCTGATTTATTAATTCTTCTAGTTCAAGTTTGTGAATACTCTTATCATCATAGTGAATTTCTGCTTGTGTACTTCTAATGGTATTTATATGACATTCTAGTTTACAAGTTGCCTTTTTTTTATTATCCATGCTGTGGTTTCACATAACACATATAATCTGATCTATAGACTTGTACTTCTCAGCTCTAATATAAAATACTTTTAATAAAAGTAAATTTTTTCACGTAAGATCATTCTTCTCCTGTAATTATATCATTTCATTTTTTTTGTAAATAACTTTATAAATAATACTTCATCTCTACTTCCCTGGTTGCCTATTAATCATTACTTTTGTTACTAACATGTTAACAACCTGTTCTAACTTTATGTTATTTCTACAAGTAATGTTTTAAAGGACCATATGACCTGATCAGATTATTTTAAACTTGTTGAATATGGGGACTTTACAACAGTTGCAAAATAACCACAGTTTACCTTATATATTTAAATAGGTTTGAATGTGTAATTCCCAGTGTCATGCATGTGTCTAGCTTTTGAAATTTCTAGTCAGTTAACAAATGTTTGTAAATGCATGTATTTTATGCTTAAAATAGTATTTACCAATGAATAAACTTGTAGAAATGATTTTTTACATAAAACAAATCATTAATATCACACTGCCTCCTTATTTATTATTTATTTATTTATTTATTTAGTTTTTCAGGACAGGATTTCTTTGTATAACTTTGTAATTAGACCATGTTGGCCTCGATCTTACAGAGATCCATCTGCCTCTGCCTCCCAAGTGTTGGGATTAAAGGTGTGCACCACCACCGCCTGACTAAATTTTTGATCATTAAAAGTTCTTTCTTCTTTATTTGCCTACTAAGCCACATAATAGAAGATATAATGCTGATATCATACAAATTTAAGTATCTGATTTTGAACCTAATTTTAAATTTTTTTTAAAGTATGGGCTACAAACAAAATACTGTGGACTCACTCACCTTACTTTCCTATTAGGATCAGCTGAATAATTTTCAACAACTAACCAAGAAACTTCATGTTGCTAATGAAAACATAGAAATGGTAAGTGGAAATAACCATTTCCTGTACCTACTTTTTACAAATTAGAAACTGTAACTATATTTATTTATGCTTATTCACATCAAATTAAAAATCATGTTGTATTTATTAAACCATATAGACAGTATCTTTTCTGATCTTCTTACATATTCAGTAACTAAACATACTTCAGAGTACCCTTTGAAGATATAACCATCATGCATTTGAGTTATACCCTAATCAGAAAACTCTAAGGCTATTTGGCAAAATCACTAAAGAGTACAGGGATCTAGACCATCAGGCCTTCAAAAGTAATGCACACACCTAATCTTTATTGTTTCTTATTACACACAGCCAACAATGTGATAAGAATAACGTAACTCTTTGAATGAATGGTTTCTTTAATTAAACTAAGAACTATCTGTAAATTAACTATCATTATTAACCTTAATATATATATATAAATTCCCCTATATTTTTCTAAAACAAATGTAATTCAGCCTCTTAGTTTCATTCTCTTATTTTCCTTTTGCTTTCCTTACATCCTTGGAATTTTATTTTTACTCATTGTTGAGTAATAGAATTATAGCGCTCTGGGTGATCCCTCCCTTTGCTTTTCATTCTTCCCTAGTTACTCTGCTAATTCTTGCTAATACCTAAATAATGCCTATGCTTGAAAGTAGTTATGTCATCAAAAGTAAGTCATCCCATTTTATTGCACTATTTTATTATCCTTTCGTCAAGTGTCTTCTACTTATATTAACATTTAGGATCTCCATGTTTGTTTGTGTTATTTTTGAAACATAGGCTCTTACTATAGCCTAGGCTAGCTTGCATTTACCCAGGCTGTCTTCATTCTTCTGACAGTCCTCTTGCCATACTTTACCTAATATTGGTATTGTAGACATGATCCACCACACCTGATTAATATTTGGGATTCCTAATCATAGGTTGTTTGTTTGTGTGGTTTTGTTTTGTTTGTTTGTGTTTTCAATATATTTCTGAGGAGTCTTGAAATTCAAGTAAAATATTCCAAGGCAAAAGGATTGCTGAGTTCTGTAATTAAGACAATCTTATAATGATATATTTCTACATGGAAACTAGTACTTTAACCTAATGTAAAAATTATGTAATAATCTCAATGTATCTCCCAGAACTGTAGGAATTATATAATTCTTTGGTATTCTTACTACAGATACCTTATTGTTTCAACCCATAACCCATAAATATTTTTAATGAAAGTCATAAGAAAAGGATGTTTGAGTATTCATGGGGTATATTAAATGATGGTGGTACCTTTAAGCCCAGCATTCATGAGTCAGAGGCAAAGGTAGACAACTCATTTTCAGTTTAGGACCCTGCTTGACTACATAGTGAGATGTGATCCTGTCTTTATAAAAAGAAAAACTTAATAGTGTCAGACAAGAACTACAGTTTTCCTAATGTATATAGTGGGTATCAATTAACAACAAGGCTGTCATGAAACAGTTGTGTACAAATCAAAGAACATTCAGAGCTTAGTTGCAGGAGCAAATCTGAGTCAAGATCAAAACAAAAAGGAGCAGTCCCTATAAAAGGCAAGCAGTTCCCATTGAAAAAGGCTCTTGTCGATGCACAATAAAGTAAGTAGTGTAGTGTAAATAAAGTTTATTGGAGTGAAACTGGAGGAAAGACCTGATTCCTTTCTCCACAAACGTATTGATTTAGCAATCCAGAACCCACTGAAAAGTTTATGCATCCCAGGAGAAGATAAAAACCAGGCAGTGTAGCACCATAGGATGATATAATAAAAAATAAGACTCCCTAACTCCCAATTTCCTCCACAGGAAATAAGAGATTGGTGTGCATATCGAGAGCCTCACTCTCAAAAGATTGACTTCTATCTTGTTAGTCCTGGAGTTATTACAATTCCTAGACAGTTTAGCCACTATGCAGAGAATGGCAGTGTGGTGCTGCTGGGACTAGTAGATTTCAATGGCTCTGTCCATCACCTTTCTTATTACCAGCTAATGAATGAAAGGTCAACTCTGACTTCCTCCTTCAGGAAAGAACAGATCTTTGTATCCAGCATTCTTAGGGCTTTACAGTCTAGTGTCAGTCTTGGTGCTTTGTCCAGCACAGTGTAGATGACTGGGAGGAATAAAGGGGTTATGATATGGACTGATGCATGCCAGAGTATTGCCCTTATCACAGAGCAAGTACACAAAAGCTATTGCAGCCACTCTTTCTAGGGTGTGGAAAATAATCCAGGACCCCTCCCAAACCTGTGACTAACTAATTAATGTAGGTCTCTCTTGTAAGGTGTCAGTCTTTGGAGCCCAGGAGGATTTCAGTTTTCTTTCATGTCTAGAAACCGTAGTCATCCCAAAAAAGTGAAAAAACAAAGTTGTTTCATAGGAACCACATAATTCTTCAGAAATCAGCCCTAAATGAAGGAGATGAGATTTCTCTCTCCTCTCTCTCTTTCTCTCTCTCTCTCTCTCTCTCTCTCTCTCTCTCTCTCTCTCTCTCTCTCTGTGTGTGTGTATGTGTGTATGTGTGTTAGAAAAGGAATAAAGAATATAATAGTAACTCTTATTAATATGCTCACTGAGGTCAATGCAAAACATTCATGAAATGTGACCTGTAATCAAAGAAAACACTTTTTTTAATTCTTGATATAAATTATGGCGCTAAAGAACACTGTACATGAGCTTGACAAATTCACTGGAAGAGTCTAAATCAACTGAAAGAATAAGATAATTCAAAGAGAGGAATTAAAATCTTAATAAATCAAATAAAAGTATAGAATTGGGAATTGAAGAGAAGTTACAGAACTAATTCCTGGTAGCAGTTAGCAATATTTTTTAAAAATAATTACCACAGTTTTCAGTAACTAGCAAAACTGAAGAATCTTAAGGGCAAAGGAAGGAGCTGGGTTTAAAGAAGCAAAGAGATGTATAAAACATGTTCACTATAGCAGAAACTTTTCCAAATCTACAAAAAGATATGGCAATCCAAGAATAGGAACCATTAAGAACTCCAAATAGTACCAGAAAGAATGTCTCCTTGTCACATTATTGTTAAATGCCAAGAGTACAGAACAAAAACAAAATAGTGAAAGCTATAAGAGTGAAATCCCAAGTTGCTCCTAAAGACATACTCATTAGAATTACAGCAGACAGCTCTTCTCAGGAGGAACTCTAAGCCAAAAAATCATGGGATGATTTATTTCAATCTCTTAGAGTAAATAACTGCCAACTAAGATTATCATATCCAAAAAGTTATTTAAAATCAATGGAGAAATAAAGACCTTCCAAGATGAACACAACTGAAAGCAACACATGACAACTAAGCCAGCACTAAGGAATATATTTCAAAGATTCCAAAGCAGAAATGAGGAGAAGAGAATCATGAAACCTAAGGATAAATTTTCATGAGCAACGATGAACAAATACAAATTAGCAACAAATCCTGCACGTTCAACTCAGGAAAAAAAAATCCTCTACGATTAACAACATCAGAAACCCATGTATGCAGTGCATACTTCAAGTCAAAACTATTCTGAAAAGGTAAAGGAACAATCCATAAAGAAAATGCAACTGCTCTTTATATATATGCAATAAATGTTGATGTACCCAGTTTCATAAACAAGCATCACTTGATATAAAGGGATGTAATAATAGTGGGAAATATCAGTACTCCACTCAATATTAGTAGTAGACCATCCAGATGAAAAGGCTAATACAAACTTCAGAGTGAAATTATACAAGGGGCCAAATAGACTTAACAGATATCCCCTAGATGAATAACTACAGGTAATTGAAAGCAACTTAAAGAAAATTTGTCTTCCCCAGAGGTGAGCATCCTAAATGGTTATTCAATCACGAGTGGCCATCCCTAAAAGACTATATATATATATAAACAGTAAATGAGCCTAGTAGGTTGCACTTACACACACACACACACACACACACACACAAATAAAGAATGGAGAGACCATGAATTTGAAATACAGGATAGATATGGGAGGGGTGGGGAGAGAGAAGAAATGATGTCATATTTTAATTTTAAAGGGGATTATAAAGATGTAAAAGAGTAAAGGGGAGAACGGACAAAGAAATAACAGATTGGGTAATTGTGATTGAGGCACTTTTTTTACATGTAGATGTAATAATCAAACCCATAATAGTTAATACCCATAAGGAAAATAAAACAAACAAACAAAAATACAACACTGCAGAAGCAGTCAGAAGAATGGAAAGTGTGAGACCAATCGAGGCTATATAACAAGACTCTGTTTTTTTTTTTTTTTTTTTTTGTTTGTTTTTTTGTTTTTTTTTGTTTTTTTTTAATTGACTTTAAAATAAAATAAATTGGGCCAAAAAGATGACTCAGTGGATAAATGTAGTGCTGCTAAAACTGAAAACCTGAATCTAACCTCTGAGACCCATGCAGTAGAAGGTGAGAACTGATTTCCCACAAGTTGGCTTTTGACCTCCAAGAGCTGTGCAATAAACACATGTCACTTTCAATTCTTAAAAAATTAACCAGATAAATTAACCGTTTCTGGAGCTTAATCCCAATATAGTCATAGTTTTGTCCCACCCATGAACACAGGGATTTACATTATTAATACCTTAGTCCCATCAATAATGTTAGACTGTTTTATAAGATTCAACATTGGTTCTAATACCTATAACATTTTTTCAGTTTTCTACACATGTAGGTGAGTAAAAGATTAGCCAAAGAAAGCCCTCAGACAGGAATTCAGGGTCAGGTAGCTTGGAACAGGATCCATAGAAGTAAAGGTAAGGAGAGACTCAAGGTTACTCTCAAAAAAAGTAGGAATTTTCAAGAATCTAACCATTTTTTTATTTTGTTTTTGTTTTTTGTTTATATGTAAGAAATACAGTTCCTAAATGTTCTAATACTGAATGTTTTTTATTTGTTCTTATGGCAGACTAACCAACACTTCCTGAAAACAGTAACCGAACAAAGTATGGAGATCGAGAAACTTCGAAAACATCTTAGGTATTTTCAGGCATGAATTTTGTTTTTATTATTAATTATATCCATTCAGGGGAACTTCCTTTTAAAGCCATAGATTTTTCCCAAGTATTTTCTTCCTCCTATTTATTAAGCCTTTCCCAGAAACACTCCATATATGTGAGCATCAGCTAATGAGAAGAGACTGAGGCTGTCAGGAGTTAACTATAGCATGTGTGTGGAAGGATAGTAGTAAACCAATGTTACAACAGAAAAGTAACTCCCTAGAAAAGTGTTCCTACCACTTATCTTTCACTGGACTTCTGCCTGAAAAAAAAAAAAAAAAAAGGAGCACCAAAACCTGTTGTTTCTTAGCAGGTAATCAATCATAGGATGTACCAGTAGGGGAGTGGGGAACTGAGATTGGAAAGAGAAAGATGTACTTAGTACATATAGCCATTGACTTCCTGCCCAAGTTTGCTTTCTATTTCTATGAAAGAACTTCAGACTAAAAGCATTTTGGGAAAGAAAGGGTTTATTTTAAATGCTTACCCTTCCATGGCACTGTCTATCCCTGAGAGAAGTCAGGGCAGGGAGGAATTGCAGAGACAGTGGAGGAATGCTGATGACTGGCTTTCTGTCTCTGGTGTGCTGAACTACCTTTCTTACACAGCCAGGACCACCTGCCCAGAAGTGGCACTGCCTACAGTGGACTGGGTCCACAAGAGAATTCCCCACAGATTCGCCTGCGACCAATCTGGTAGAGGCAATTCCTTTATTTTCCCTCTTCTCAAATGACTCTTAAATTGTATCAAAGTTCATTAAAAAAAAAAGAGAGAGAGATCACATTTGTCATCCATGGAACACTGTACACTTATTAAGAGGAATAAGGGAAGCAGAGCTACATTCAACTTTAAGATAGGATTTAAGGTAGGATTGGAAATGGAGGAGAGTGACATTGCTGGGGATCAAACCCAGAGCCTTGCAAACTCTAGGCAAGTCCTCTGCCCCTGAGCTACACACTCAGTTCTAATAACATATAAAAACAAAAACAAGATAAGTAATTTTATAGCAAATAGATTTTTTCTAATTATTTATTTTTGCAAGTGCAAGGCTTTATTATTCATTCCTACTGGTAGGAACTCGGTTTAGCAGGCTGATGCAGCAGCCTCCAGAGGGAGTGTAGTCCATTGTCTGTTGCCACAATTCAAAGGAAAAAATAATCACAGAATGACATCAGTAGGTACGGGTCAACCTGATTAGTTGACATTTAAGGAACCATTAGGGGAATTTCCCAGAGTCAGAGCATTTTTAATTGGTTGGCTACAGATGGGAATATTAGTGGTTTCTTTCTTTCTTTTTTTTTTTTTTTAATGTTTATTTTTTTCTTATTTTACATATCGATCCCAGTTCCCTCTCCCTCCCATGTCCCCCCATTTCCCTTCCCACCCAACTCCCTCCCCCCCATTCCACAGGGAGGGTGATGCCTTCCAGGAGGTATCATCAAACTCTGTCAAGTCATTTGGAGTAAGGTCTAGGCCCTCTCCTGCCTCTAGGCTAAGGGAGTAACCCTCCATGGGGAAGGTGCTCCCAAAGTCCTAATTTATTATAATGTAAATTCAGAATATTCATTGGGTGGTGGTGACACATGCCTTTAATCCTGGAGCTCTGGAGCTCTGGAGAAAAAGGCAGGTGGATATCTGAGTTTGAGAACAGCCTGGTATACAAGAGGTAATTTCAGGACAGACTTCAAAGAGAAACCCTGTCTCAAAGAAACAAAACAAACAAACAAAACCAAAATATTCACTGTTAGTTATCCCCCCTGTCATCTCTGATTTTATTGATAGGTCTTTTGACCAGTTTTTCTAAGGATTACATTTGTCAGTTTATTGGTCCCACTCTTTGTTTGATTAATTCTTTGTATTCTTTTAGTTTTCCATTTCATGAATTTAAACTCTGGTCTTTATCATTTATTTCCTTGTGCTGATTTGGAAGTAAGCCTTTCTAGGACCTTGCGTTTTATTAGATTATTTATTTCAGATCTCATTTTTTTAAAAATGTAGGAATTTGTGGGTACAAAGTTTTCTGCTATAACTGCTTTTTTCTGTTTCCCTCAGATTCTATGTTGTGCTTTCATTCTCATTTGATGCTAAGGATTGTTTTAATTCATTCCTGATTCCCTTAGTGACTCACTAATCATTCAAAAATTTGTACTTTGCAGCTTTGGGGTAGAATAGTTTCTGGATGTCTATTAAATCCATATGATTTCTTGTATAGTTTAACTCTGAAGTTTAATGTCTAAATTTAGAAGCAAAGTACAAGAACAAAGTAAGTATTACATGTATTTCTAAAATACAAACATTTCCAGCAGTTCTATTCCCTTAGTTGGTCATTGTTTCTATGGACTGTGGCTATTTGTAGAAGTTGGGAAGTGCAGGTGCTGAGATACAGTACAGTGGCCACACCTCAGTCTATTGCTATTTTAGCCAGTAACTGCAGTTGTGTCTCTGCAGTTACCTGCCTGCTTCTCGGGTAGCAGGCACAGCCTGGTGGAAAGTCTTTTCCTGCAGGCACTGGCCCTGTCACTGCCACTCACTAAAGGTAGCTTTAACTAAATCTCTATTGTTCTATTTGTGAAGAAGACTGGAGATTCAAAGGCTAGGGCGAAAACCTGTAAGTTCAGAGAGGCGAAGTAACAACTAGCTAACCTTCTCTTCTTGCTGGCATCTTCCTTAGAGAACCATGCCACTCCAAATCCCTTCTGACTACTTCCTGTATATCTGTCTAACTCTTCTAAATGCCCTCTATTATCCTATGATAACTTTCAGTCAGCTACTTGCTTACTCAGCCTCCTGACCCAAGGTTGATCTTATTTAATTAATGCAAATGCAAACATGGGGTTCACAGTGTGATCAAATATCCCCAAGCAGCAGGCAGCCTACTTGTTCATCACCAAGGGAACAGTGAGTAATATGTGGTAATTGTGTGTATGGAAAATAAGGCATCAACAACAAGCATTGGTGTATTTCATATAAATAGATAATTAAATGTCAAAACGTAGATCTAAAAAACAAAGTTTATATTACTCAAATAGGGATCTAGTATAAAAACATGCACTAGCAACATATATTACGGTTTAACATGAGCTTACAAAACAAAGAAAAGAGGGACCACCAAACACAACTGAAAGCATTGACATGACAGTTGAAAACAATGACTCAGCTAACAGTGTGCTTAACTCTAAATTCAAGGCTCAGAAAAGATTGCAAGTAAAACTATCTGCAACATAATAGGATAACTTAGAATGCAGAGATAGCCAGGCAGTGGTGGTGCACTCCTTTGAGAATGCAGAGATAGATCCTGAGAGAAAGTTGAGTGAGGAGATTGGTTCATAAAGACCTTCAGTCATGTAGTGAGAAATAAAGTGGATATGGAAAATCCCATGTTAAAGGGAAAAAGGAGAACTAGGGGCTAAAGATCAAGGTAAACTATTACTAGTTGAACTGGCAGACAGCATCTTAATGGCCATTTTTCTAACTTCTTAATATCATACAGAAACTAAACCAAACCAAAGGCTGAACTGTCTCATACTGTCAACATACTCAAGGAAAGGCCAAGTTGGAACTCCTGTCTTTTCATTGCTAATCTTAATGAGTTGCTAAGCCTGGCTCTCTGACAGTATTCACAGCCATTAAGAGAGAGAGAGGGAGAGAGAGAGAGAGAGAGAGAGAGAGAGAGAGAGAGAGAGAGAGAGAGGATTAGAAAAGAAAGGATGATGAGTGGATATGTTGATTTATTTGATTTTTTTTTTTTTTTTTTTTTTTTTTTTTTGGACATTTGGTGAAAAGTCTATCTTGAGATTAAATGAGTTGAGAATGAGAATGCTAGTTGTGGTTTTCTGAAGCCTAAAAACGGTATTGAATGTTGCACTGTCCGTAAGCAATTTTGCCATAATATTTATCAATGGCATTCTATAGTTCAAAATTAAGCAGTTCAGAGTTGTATACATAAAACTATGCCTGCTTTTCCTGCCACAGATTTGAAGGAACATAAGGATAAGCAGATGCTTCTTTGAGGGAAAGGATGTTGCTCTCAAGTTTGACAGATTCTGAATGATGGGCATATTGACATTACCAAAATTCAGTTTTGAAATGCTCTCTATTACCATGCCAAGAAAAAGTAAACTAGAAATTTTTTAAACACATTTGTACTTACACTGAAACATAGTTTCATTTGTTGTCTGATCATATGATTCCAAAAACTGAAATCATGTGAATATCTAATTAAAGTTTCTTTTGTTTTCCTTTTTGAGTTTTGGTGATACTCTGCCATAGCAAATGAAACTGTTGAGGCTGTTGTTTTTTCACAGTCTTCATTCACCTGGCCCTCCTTAACCCTTCAGTGTAAAGTGTTCCAGGTGTCACTTTGCTGTTTCTCAAAAGCCTCCTGCTTCCTTCTTTTTTCTTTTTCACCATTATTCTGTTTCTCAGGAAATTTGTACTCTCTGTGGCTGCACTTGCTTTCTCAACATAGTGAATTCTAACAGTGATACCGTATCTTAAAATTTTATGAATGAATGAATATATATATATATATCTTTTATATGTATGTATGTATGTATGTATGTATGTATGTATGTATCTTTTAGGAATGGTGGGTTTTATTGGTGCAAAGGATTTCCTCTAAAGATGGCCTGAAACACTGGCATGTGGGTTCATATTAACCTCTCAACCTTAACAAAAATAGTTCAGAAAATTAAAATGAGGAACGGTCTGAAGTCAGAAAGCAGAAGACTTGATGTCATTCTGAGCAGTCACTGACATGAAATGATATGATCAAATTTTATTTTTGAAAGAGTTTTTTTAATAATGATTGTTTATTGATTCTTTGAGAATTTTACATCACGCACCCCAAACCTGCTCACCTCCCAGTCCCTCCATATCCACCCTTCACCTCTGCAGTATCTCCCCAAAAGAAACCCCCACAAATTGATTCAAAACAAGCAAAACCACCTTACTCCTCCAGCTTGCCCATTTCTCCAACAC